GGAGAATTCAAAGAAGGGAGAGTTACCAATCCAAAGTAATGCCAAGTTAAGTAAGACTCAAAGCCTAAGTACCGAAGTCGAGATAGCAGAAATAAGCCGAGTACCATACGCTTCCGCAGTTGGCTCGATTATGTATGCTATGACTTGTACTCGCCCTGATGTGGCCTTCGCTTTGAGCATGGTCAACAGATATCAAGGGAACCCTGGCAAAGCACATTGGACCGCAGTCAAGAATATTCTTAAGTACCTTCGGAGGACCAATGAATGGTTTCTAGTCCTCGGTGGGAGTGATAACTTAAGGGTGTGAGGGTATAGTGACGCCAGTTTTCAAACCGACAGGGACAACTACCATTCGCAGTCGGCCTGGGTCTTTACTCTAAATGGAGGAGCAGTGACTTGGAAGAGTTCCCAGCAGGAGACCGTAGCTGATTCAACGTGCGAATTAGAATATATAGCGGCGAGCGAAGCGTCAAAGGAGGCAATATGGTTGAAGAACTTCATTGGAGACCTTGGAGTTGTGCCAGCCATAAAGGAGCCCATGGAAATTTTCTGTGATAATGAAGAAGTGGTTGCCTTGACCAAGGAACCCAGGGATCATGGCAGATCTCGATATATCGACAGAAAATATCATTTTATTCGACATCGGGTGGAAGAATGACTCCTCGTAGTGAAGAGGGTATCGTCGGAGGATAACCCAGCAGATTCCCTTACGAAGGGACTGAGTAGGGTTAAGCACTTGCAGCACGCTAGGAGCATCGGGCTGAAGGACGATATTAGTTTAGATTGGATAGTTTAGAAACGTGTAATAGATAAATGTAATTGACATTTGATGATTAAATAAAAGGGTATTATTTATAAGTAAAGTTACTGTCATATGTTAATTATTTACCTATTGTTTCATTTGGCATGTTTTGACTTCCTGAATAAAAAGATTATTCGAATGTTCCACAATCGTTCATATTTTGGGAGTAGGTATGAAAGAAGATTGTCATGAATTGGTGTGTAGATTGTCTAAAGTGTATTAGACATAGCAAAGGTTTGCTACAACGTTCATGAGTGCTTATGAGTTCGATTTGAGCATTGGATTAGACCCGCGCTTGCTTGAATCACTTCATGGAATTTATCATGAGTGATCGCAAGACGATAATATCATATGGTCTTAAAACCTAGATATATGGTTTGTTGTTTACTAATTGGTTGTGCATTGATAATGCGTAAACGCATCAGTAACTTGATGTTATAAAACGCATTGTTGTGTATGATTTGATTAATGGATAGTAAATGCATATAAGTCGAAGTTTATTTGTTCCTTTTATCCTAAGAGGGTAAAAGTGATATCAGGGTCCCTCGATGATTTTGTTTGACTTATGTATCGGGCCCGGTCAGGACTGAATTGATGTGTTCAATTAACTTCTATGTCAGAAGAATCAGAGATCGAGAAACAACTGCTAGACAATAAGTATGACTATGTTCCATGTATTTGTCTGCACGATATCTAGAACAGAGGACTATACGATCCCTTATCTAGAGGACAAGTTACTGATAAGATCAGAGTTCGACAGCGTCTTTGAGAGCTACGATTGCTAATCGGATTGTGCTTGCATTTATAGTTACTAGACTTATCCAAGTGGGAGACTGTTGGATTAGTGTCTAAGCCCGTAACTATATTTGGTAAGTATTTGACCCGATTGTGCATGGTCCTTTTGGGTTGCCTTCACCAAAGCAACATGATATGATGATTTATGAATAAAGAGGTTATTATGATTTATTAATATGTTATATGAATAATATATTAAAGGAGAAATTATATAGTTAATTAATATTAGACAAGAATTAATTAAGAATTAATTATGTGGCTAAAAGAGATTAACTAAATAAAGGGGACTGGAACTGTCAATTGTGTGATAGTTGATTTGGGCTGAGAATCCTTTTGGATTTAATGGGTGGACGAAAATTAGAGTGGGAGCCCATCTAATTTCGTCCAAGGCCTTTATTCTAGAAGGTTCTTTGGACTGATTAAGGCCTAAGCTATCCAATTAGGGTTTTGACTGAAACCCTAACAGCACAAGTATATATAGACCCCTTAGGCTTCAGAAATCGGCTAACCCTACTTTTGAGAGTACCAGAGCCAACTTTAAGAGCTTCCAACCTCTCTCCAAGATCATCCTCTTGCTTGTGGTGTTTGTAAGCCATTAGAGGAGTGACATTTGTGACTCTAAGCTCCAAGGACAATAAGATTCAAGCTTTGAAGAAGAGGTAATCATCTAGATCTGTTTTGTTACGTCAATTTCGAATTATATACACTAGATCTAGGGTTTGAAAGACTTGGATGAATTGCATGTACAATAGAGAAGCCTAGATCCAAGCTTTAGGGTTTGCATGAGCACATAGGATGTTATTTTGTGTAAAACCCATCAGTACAGTGAGGCGAAACTCACCTGAAATGAAGAAACTCGAGACACCGTGATACGCTCCCTTCTACACTGCTTACTCCCGCGGATCCACTATCATCAGAACCATATAAAATCTTAATCACCAATCAAAACTCTCAAGTTTGACCTAAATTCAAACTTGGTCAAAAGTCAACTCAGACCGAGTATACCCAGCGTACTCGGCACGTACGCCCCGCATACTCGCGATCCAGATCGGGGCTCCCTCTGGAGTACGCCCTGCGTACGACCAGGTACGCCCAGCGTATGCGACGTCTTACCAACCTCATTTTTAAGGACTTAATCCCTTAAGCCACTTCGCCAAATTCTCAGTTCTAGTTCCAAATCACACTCCAAACCATAAAGTTTCCAACTTTATGGTTCTACATGTCTAAATCAAGGCATGCATGGGGAAACTAAGGGGCCAAGATCATATTTTTATGACTCTAGACATGGAAAAACGTCCAAAAGGACAGCTCAAAAAGATTATGGTACCTCATACTCTGAATACCAAACTCATGGGACCAAAAGAACCACAAATCCAAGGCTAACAAGATCTAAATGAAATCAACATCAAGTTCAGAACTTTATACCTCCAAAGGATGCTAAAAAATGGTAGAATCGTGGATCCAAAGTGTTCCACTCTTCAAGGATGGTCTTCTCTTCTAACTTATTCCTTCAAGGACACCAAAATATACACAAAAACTCAAAAATGCACTTGAGAGGATTAGGGTTGGCTAAGGAACGATTTTCCAGATGGCGGCTGAGGAGGGGAAGGGGTCTTGAGCCATAAAGATGAATATTATATATATATATATAATATATATATATATATATATATATATATATATATATTGCTCAAACCCTAAATAATTAGGGTTTGGCCTGGCCGGAGTACGCCCATCGTACTCATGCAGGCATGCCTTTTCTTAAGTTGCCACTTGCGACCCTTTTTGCAAACAAATCTCACTCCAAGGGTTAAAAATATAATATTGGAAATTGAGGTATTACATAGTTATAATTTTGATTTAAAAAGAAATTAACTAAACAAATGAGTCTTGTCCATAGGTCTTCTTCCATCGCACCTTTTTTGCGTCAATGTCGTCAATATTGTCCTCGTTGTCGACCTCCATCCTTCAGTATTCTACCAATTTCTATTGCCCTTGTTGTCCTTAACAAATAGTGTGTACTTATCTCTTCTGGAATCTTAAGTAGTAAACAAGAAAATAGTGATTACAAATTCCATTTACTCTTTTTTTTACCATAGTCATAATTTTTGCAATCAAGACTTAGGAGCTAAATGTTCATCGTTCTCTCTCTCTCTCTCTCTCTCTCTCTCTCTCTCTCTCTCTCTCTCTCTCTCTCCATAAGATTAAGCAGGAACATTAGCAGTTAGAGACTCAAACGAAGATGTTGTAGATTTCAGAACTATTGAAAGTTGTGGAAAACGAACCGGCGCCGAAGAAGGTGGCGAGCTCATCGGTCTCTTTTGCAAAGAATTGAGGAGGAACAAAAACGTCGTAGGGAGAAAAAAATGATAGGAACACTCTTTGTTGCTTGCGTCACAATATAAGCCCAACTTCGGTCGACCTTTATCAGATCCTTCTCGAGAAAGCACAACCACAATGAGTAGGTTAACTTGCTAGGACAGGTGGGTGTCATACCATACCTTACCACAGTTATAGTTTGTCACGTCATCTTCACATCACCTCACAAAACTGGTAGGTGTCATACCACACACCAAACACACCTCAAAACACACACAAACGTGCGGTGAAGTTTCCTCGTGCAGCAGGCTTACCGCAACCCCTCTCGCCAATCGGTGTTGTGTTCAACGCATCACCACGGTGTGTGGTATAGGGGTGTACCGACCGAACTAAATGTCTTTCACAAAAGAGTGCAAGGTTCATTTTTTGGACAAAAAAATGTTCGGAGGAAAACGATCATTGTTTGACAAGTTTAATATATATATATATATATATATATATATATATATATATATATATATATATAATAAAAGGGTCCTCCTCCATTATAGTTATTTTCTTATTTTTATCATTTTCTTAATTTCTCAATTAGCCATATAACTATAACATATACATCTAACTATTCACTTTTAGAATGCTTTCCTTCATAAAAAATTAAATAAAAATACATTTTTCTTCATAAAATTTATCATAACTAAAACGTTTAAAAGTAGATCTTTAACAAACTAAACCATCAAATCTAAAGGCACATGTAATTATAATTACAAAAGTGTCCTTGTCAAATTTCAAGAGTTCTATTTGTGCAAACAGAGTTCTTTTTTTCCAACCAGCATCAGGTAGGCAGTTACAAAACGACAATACATATTTGTGGTTAAGATTCTTTTATTTTATGCATATGACTTTTCAAAATTCAACGTTCTTAAATTATTTAAATCATCGTAGTCATAACTCATATCAAGAATCAATTAGTTGTACAAATTCTGAGTTGTTAACAACCATTACCAAACCCTCCTTCATGTGCTTCGCAGATTCAACTTCATAAAAAGCCCAAAAGCTTAAAAAAAAAAAAAAAAAAAAAAATTGATTACATATGATTACCATTACAGACTGTTATTGCCTGAGAAGATGGGGAATCAAGCATCAAAAGCGATGATGAAGGGAGAACAGTTCTTCCATGACTTCTGGGACGATCAACCGAAGATGACGATGGAGAACTCGAAGATGAAGTGAACCGATTTGAACGGCTCCTTAGTTTCGTCTTAATCTCTGCTTCATTACACACTTTGTGATCTTCAATTCCAACTTTAGTCGAATTTATACTCGCTGGAACTATACAGTTGCACAGGAAACCTAATCATCACCGGAAAAAAGTGTCAGGAATTTCATTCGATCGCAAGAAAATGAACGTGTATCATTATGAACTGAAACAATTGAAATTAGTTAACAGCTTACCGATTCTAGCTAGACGATTGATCCAATTCGGTATAGGATTTCCGGTGAGTTGGAGACAAGCATCATTGCAGAAGTGATTGCAGTTTCTGGTGATTAGGTTATATGAAATCCCTGTGTAATCCTGAGATAGCATTTCCATGAATCCTCTCACATCTCTTAGACTCATCTCCGTCCATCCTATCAGGATCTGCTTCCTGAACGTGAATCCTTCGCACTGTTTCGGTTCTCCTTCGAAGATTCCAGTCGTCGGTTGTTCATGAGATCCAAAAGCGTACTCAACTCCATGAACTAGAAACGATATTGTACAGAAAAAACATGTTTAATTTAATGAAACTATGAGTGAGCATCTCAATTCATGAAATCAACTAAAACAACACCCAGATCGAACCTTGAACGCCGGAATGATAGACGCCGAGGCCAACCCAATAAGCGTATTCATTCATGGAGGTAAGATCATAAACATTCAGGTAAACCGGAACTGATCCAGGTTTTCTACATTTTATCGAATTAGTTCCCCTGCACAGCATCTTCAGTTGAAATTTGGAAATATGGTGAAGGAATCAAAAAGTGATTTAAAATTTGAATCCAATTATTTGACAGATATGAATGTGTGAGAGAGAATCTTAAGAATATGGAAGCGTATGGATGAAGGCGAAGCTTGTTGGTGCCATCGGCGACATATAAGCGCCGCATCATCTCCTTTCTCGCGGACCCACACGAATTTTGTATTCGATAAATATAATTCTACTTGTTTTATACATTTTTTTATTTTATCAAAGCAGAATATTTTATTTCTTTATTATAATAATAACTTTTCATAATTTCTTGAACTAAAGGGGTTCTTATATAGTGTGGCTATTACGGTTACACCATGTAAATCATGACTTTACCCATTCCTTATGCTCCATGGGTTTTAACCTCCATGGAGTATCCATGGATCACCACATGGGTTAAACCTAACATAAAGGAATCTTGGATCATAAGCCCACATATATAAGAATGAATGATTTACACAATCAATCCCCATATATTTAATTAGTCTCTTTTTGATCACTAAATTAAGTCCAAATTAATTCTTGATCAATACTAATTAAATAACATGATTTCATATTAATATATTAGAACTTATAATATATTAATATGTCACAAAATGTCTTTTCCTCATAAACGGTCTATCCAAATGTTCCGATGCCATGCAACCCAAATGGACCATGCCGAGTCGGGTCAAGTACATACCAATTATAGTTAGGACTTAGACACTAATCCAACAGTCTCCCACTTGGATAAGTCTAAAACTATTATTGCGTATGACTTCAGGAACCAACTGGCAATCGTAGCTCTCAAAAGCCGCTGTCGAACTCTGACCTTGTAGATGAACTCTGACCTTTGTCAATGACTTGTCCATTAGATAAGGGATCATATATTTCTCCATTCTAGATATCATATGGACTGAGACATGGATTATAATCATTTTCTCTGTCCATTTGTTGTTTCCCGATTTCCGATTTATGACGACTGACTAATTGAACAAATCAAATCAGTACTGGCTCGGCCGAGCACTTCCATTTGTCATCATCAAATCATCGAGGGGCCCACAGATATCGCTTTTATCCCGAAGGTAAAAGGAATGGATAAACTTCGACTCATATGGCTTGTTCTACTACTTGTTGAATCATACACAAATGCACGTTTTATAACACCGAGTTACCGAATGCGTTTTCGTGCAATCAATGTACAACCAACTCATAGTAACAACTCATATCTCTAGGTTTGAAGAATATAAGATATTATCGTCTCATGATCACTCGTGATAAAATCCATGAAGTGATTCCAATGAGCGCGGGTTGAATCCAATACTCAGAACTTATGAGCACTCATGAGTGTTGTAGCCCCTTGTCCAACATCGTAGACCTCTACAAGCCAACCCATGACAGTCTTGATTCATATCTACTTCCAACATATGACCGACTGTGGATAGTTTGAATAACTTAGTCAATCAGGAAGAACGACCTAGTTATTCTGGAAGTCAAAACATGCAAAATGAAACACAATAATAATAGAATCTAATATGGTATCAAAACCTATGAACATAAATAAAACACCTTTTATTTATCACCATATGATTACACATTATTCATTGTATACTGTTTCAGCTATCAACTTTATTCTTGAATTTAAAACAATAGTTGTCACATGCTCCAAGCATGTACACTATGTTTTCTAAACACTAGTCATGCCATACACCAAGTATGCATACTATGTTTGTCTATGATCTTCACTTTGTGAATTAGATCAATTGAACATAACTCCAATGATCCTCTTTCACAGTCCCAAATCCTTACTGCAAATGCAAGAATTCCAAATTCATGCCATTTACTAAAATCTGTTAGATTCTAAACTTATATGCATTGATCCTCCTGTAATGATTATGCACAGAGTCAGAAAGACTTGACAACAATCATTACAGAGCATTCCAAGGAGATCAACTCCTCGGAAACATCCTTCTTGCATTAAGTTTCCTAATCTTACACAGATTGAATAATTTCCAACTTTGAAACATTTCCATATTCCATTTTGACTATCACTTCTGAACAAGAGTTGCCTCCTTACAGATTATGTCAATATGGTCCTTCCAGAATTAACACTATACTTCCAACTGTCCTTGAGCAACCAATCTTTGGTAAACCTTAGATTGTCCTCGACAATTGCTTAATCCTTTTAGTCATATCCAGTTCTAGACCTTTTCCCTTCTTAATGCCCCAGGCATTTGGAAAATTTTAGAAAGGATAAATATAGCACATGTAATCGATCCTATATCCGAAGCATATGGGACACGAGTCATGATGTCTCACATAAAGACTAAACCAGTCTTTTGCTATAACATTTCCATTTCTATTTTCCAAGTTCTCATAATTCAGATTATGAAAAGGGATGTCGTAATCATAATCGAATTTTAGAACGCACATAATGGACCCATATATAGAATTTCCTTATGTTGAGTCATTCCAACATGAAATTCATATATATATATCCTTGACTAAATACGACTTAAAACCTCAATCTAAGCTTTTAGAATTGAAATGAAGTATAATTTCCTCTCCCTTAATTATAGCAAAACAACTTTTTCAACCCCTGCAGCCTCACGAATTGAAACTTTTGTTTTCTATAATTAACATTGCTAACTTGCAATCTTTATCATAATTATCATGCTCCCACTAACATGATGATTATTAGCATAACACTCATGCTCCCACTAGCTTTGACATGTAATCAGAAATCAGCTGGACTTCTAGAAATTAATACTTTATTGACTTTCTTACCAAAGTTCAGATTTCTGATACTAGATTGCTTTGATAAAACTTTATCAATATCATACACCTTATCTTAGATAGCTCACAGGTGTGTCTAAACAATTTTAAGAACTATGAAAAGGGATGCTGTAATCATAGTCTCGATTGTTTAGACCTTTACCACTTCTCACAAGTCCATGTTAGTGTGCTGGTTAACCACACACGCTCCACTAACGACTTTGAGAATGCAAATATCACAATTGCTATCTAGCTAAAATCTACTTAGTGAAAGTGTTTCCTCACCATCATTTTCATGAATCGGAGAGAAACCTTATGACACTTAGATTTTATGGTGTATGAGTTCCTATCCATATGATTTTTTTCAAAACCATAATCACAAGACAAGGTTATTGACAAATCCACACTTATATGGATTAAACTTGTGCAATCTTAAATTCTTGCCATTTGGCAGCTCAAGGGCCTGCCATTGCTTCCAAGTAGCTGTGCAACCAATTGAGAACTCTCAGAACTCCTATGCAAAGCCAACTTGAATAGGCACAGACATGTCGACACGATAGGTTATAAACCTCAAGTCGTGTGCTAGTGAAGAACTTCAGGTTTTATTCTTGATTAGTTCTTGAGACTTTCAAGACCTTTAAGACTCACACTGTCCTCTTGACATATAAGATTCTCTTGTCAAATATTCAAGAGATAGTGTGGATTCTAATCAAGACAAACACTTCACACAATTGGCCTTAGTTGGTCTTTGTTTTATCCAAAACATCACAACTTACCAATTTCAAATGTACAAGAGTAGAAAACTTTTACTCTTACATTTGACAAGTGTTTTAAACCTTCTTTAAGACATGTCACTCAAGTTACAATCTTAGAGTATAACTCTAAGAATTGTTTTTGGAACGAAGTATAAATCATCTTCTTGATTTAACCACTTCAACAATTCATAGCTCCTCTTCTTAGCTACCAGAATGCACTTAGAGGATGAATTGTGATAAGGTCTCTTAATCATTAAGATGATTATATAACATGATACTAAAGTACTCTCCCATCTTTTCAGATTTGAGAAACTTTTATCTTTCTGCCTAAGTTGATTCTTCTTATTCGCTCTGCCATACATTGAAACCTTTTCCAATGTCTCAGAATTACACTTAAGCTTGTAAGTATAACCATATTTACTGAATTTTAGTAAATAATGACGAATAGTCTTAACGATTATTTGTGGTGGGCTTGATCAGTGCACAAGAATGTGTACTCGATCCTTTACTTGACTCACACATCCATGTGAACAAGTAGTTAGTCTTAATTTTTCCAATGCTTGAAAGTTCTTATTCATCATGCTATACAACTTGCATGATTCCAAGTTTCTATCCAACTGAAACTTAGGTGATGAGAATCTTTCCTTATTTGGTAAATTTAGACACTACCACAAATGAAAGAATCAAATTCATATTTCCACTCTTGCTCTTAATGGAATCTTATAAGCAACAAAAGTTTTCACAAATGCCATTGTAAGGATATTTTAAAATAAATAAAATCAAAAAAAAAATTTCTTTTATTTTAAAACTTTGCGGAAAAACTATCCTTACAATGCAAAAGCACATGAAAACTTTGTTGTTATTTATTCCTAAGCAATATATCATAACTCTTAAGAAGTAGCTCAAGAATCCGATCTTCAAACTATGCGATAGAAATCCATCTATGCCATCAGATTCAGCATATTCTTTCTTTAAGTTTCTTCACTTTTTCTTTGATTCTTAAAACATCAACATGTGACCCAGTCACATCATGTATCAAGAATCTCAGAATAGAAACTTAGCAGAGTTAGATAGTGGACTTTACCCGAAGTAGAGTCAAACTTATTGACTTTAATATCCTTAGGTAAATTTGGCAGCTTCGCAACCAATGCCCCTTTCTTTGGCAATAGACCCTTGATAATGGGACTATCTCAGACTTAGCCGTTCTCTTTACCATTTGGTCAACCGAGTTGACTATGGCCGATCCCTTTCCATTGGGAAGAGAGAGCTTACTGGATATCCAATGTCATCATTGTCAATGTCCATAAAGTTTTAGGAAGTTGATCTTAGCAAATAGATAAGATCATTAAGGGTCTTGTCATAGTCTGTTCCATAGGAGTCCCAAAGGAACTCACTATGTGACTTAGAAAATAGTTGAGTCACCAACTTTCTCAAGACTTTGACACCCAACTCTCCCGGCTTGTCAATATCTGACTACATCTCCAAGATGTGATCACATATAGACCTTTGCTTGAGTGACCTTAAACTTTTCAGGAACTTGTGGGTTAGGGAGAATAATTGGAGGAGGTGAAAGAAGTATGATTTCCA